CCTTACCACGAAGTCTGTTATCGCATTCGTAATACCACGCTTGAGATCGCCACCAAACACGTTAAGAGTGAACAAGCTCGAGTGAAGGCCCAGAAGGACACCATCTCTAACCTGAAGATTTATCTTAGCCTTCCAGTGCAGCTCGCATTCAGGGCTTCACGAAGGCACGGCGTGCCGCGTGGTAGGACAAGTTTTTCTCCATGAATTTTACGAACGCTCGTAAGATGCAGTTGAAGCTTCAATCCACAACCGACAGCTTCGCGATATGTCATTCACCGTGGAAGGGGAGAGACAGAGAAGGGCGGTTGCACCCGTACTCACTTTCGGAGGACAACACGGTCAATCCGAAACTATAGGCGGTGGTTATTCCAACCGATAATCTCGCCTGTATGCTTCCCTTAACCCAGCATCTCAAAATGACGTAACATGTCCTTGGAATGTGCTGTACAGTAAGTACACTGCATTCCTGACGAGGTAACCTCGTGCAGAAGACCTGGTCCGAGTCAGACGCCAGCGCTGCTGTGCTCGGGATAAACGCTATGAATCCGAAGCTATGAATGGTGGTCAATCCAAGCTATAGTGAACTATAGTGGCTATAATCCAAGCTAACGTCCCACCTGTACACATTCCTTCACCCGTGATCTTGGAATGACACGTAGCACGTTATATGGAATGTCTCGTACTGTTCCTGAAGAGATGACCTCGTGCAGAAGACTTTTGACGAGTTTTCAATCACCTCTACTACGCGCGGGATCTAGACGCTGCCAGTTGGATGGACATTTGTCGATAGTGCGAGCGACGACGGTTTCTTGCGATTCAAGATTTGTACACAACATCGCGACGATTATAAGTACGGTACACGCTTCGGCTTTTTTGACGACTGCATAAGCAAGAGTATGGACGACTGGTTTGGGGTACTGAGAGAGGAGGTAGGCGGCAGAGGAAAAAAGGGTGTGAGGAAATCGAGATTTCGGGAGTGGGGAGGGCTGTACAGGGCAGCTAAGGAGGGGGCGGGGAGCAGCAAAGCTAAACTTGCATAGTCACAGCTTTCACACAGTAATACTCGTAATAGTACACAACACGCACATTTAACACTGCACGACGCGAACCTGAGACAATTACACGAGCACACCAGGCTTAACGCACGTTTGCAAAAAAAAAAAAAAAAACGACGACAACAAACCAGGAAGAACAAAAAAAAGAGCAAGAAGAATGCTTGCGAGGCCACAGGAACTGCTACACATAGTCCCTCGCTGACGTCACTTCCGGGCGCAGACGACCACTCACGTGGGAGCGTGCGCAGCGCCCCCTATGTGGGGCCGATTGTCAGTCAGCCCGTTTGATTGGCTCGCAGAGATGTCGGGTCGCCGACAGAGAGTGATGACGCCAGCAGTTCAGCCGCTACGATGACGTTTCGGCGACGGCAATGGGAAAGGGAGAGACAGAGATAGCGGCGCACTCTATGCGCAGAGAACAAGCGACGGGCGTCACCACAAAGTGCGCAGTGCGGATGTCAGAGAATGGTGACGTGAGCACCGAACTTTGCTCTTTGCCTAGGTCCAGTGAAAAAGGTCATTCATTTTAGCCTAACATACGGGCGCTAAGTCGAACAAACGAACGACAATGCAACGCGCTCAGTGGCGCATTATTTCGAAGGCGACACCAGACACGATTGCCGGAAAGTAAATTGCTGTGGCACTGGCCAGCTTCGGAAAGCGGCCGCCGTATTGAAACCTATAGTGTGGTATCGGGCGCAGCTTCGTAATCAATATATTCTTATGACGAGCTGGGGCAATATAATTATCCTTATCTAATAAACCGGGTCCTTACTAACATAAAAAACGCGTTGCTAAGATCTAAAGACGATGTCTCCTTCGCTGTTGGCCACCTGTCGGTGTGATTTACGCAGACAGTTAAGTTACTCACTCGTGAACAATCTTGCCTAAATAAACTAAATTCACTCCATGTCACTGCGCTCCTTCGAAAAAGAAAAAAAATAACGCGGCAACTTGTAAAAAAAATTATTGGCACAGAAAACATCTTCCCCATTCTAGAAACATTCCACATACTATCAAACGTTCTGTGATCTTCACATTATTTCTAACTACAAAAAGAGCATTCCAGTACCATGACTGCCGACCACGACAATGAAGATGATGTCATCCATGATGATCAATATTTAACAAGGCCGCTTACAGAATCATGTAACGTAGGGTATAAAACGATGCAATAAGGAGAATTTCAAACACCGGATAAACAAAGCAACCCACCTTTTTAAACCACTGGACCCAGGATTTCTCCCATAATGTAACAAAAAAAAAATGGGGGTAAAAAGAAGGGAATATTTCGTCGTCACTGAAAATAAAGACACCCGCACCGCGCCCTTTCCAGTTGTTTTTCTGTCGGCCTCTGGAAACACCCCTGCCAACGATGTACAACACTCTTAGAAGAAGAAGGCGTGAAGGCAGTTAAAAAAAAAAAACCGCGCGAGGCAAGAAAATAAGAAAAACATATGTTTTTCAAAGTGATATGACATCACATGCAAAACCGATTTTTGGTTTTGAAAGTCTCTCCCAGTGACGGAACGCAAAGTGATATTTCCAAACAAACAAACGAGTAACGAAATCGAAGGAGAGAAAATTGTGCGCGACACTTGCTTGAAGAAGTCAAGCGTAGGGGGCACTGCGAGCATCGCTTCCTGCCCTCTTTGATGTGAGAAATACTACTGTACAGGACGACTAAACAAAGAAACTAACTGTACAGCACTTTTTTTTTCTCTCTTGACTTCTATCGAGTACAAAAATAATATCTTTTCTTTTTCGGGTCTTGTGTGCGCGGTCTAAAGGAATCGGTAGACGACGCAACGCGGCGGAAAAAAAAGAAAAATAAAAATAATAAACGCGACAATTCTCTTGTGGGAGTTGGCAGAGTCGTCTTAGACACGACCGTGGCGCATCGACAGCGCGATCGAACGCATCGACTCGAAATCGAAGTAGCGACGACGTTGATGCTTCCGAGCAATGAGCGCTCGTCCGTGTCGGGTCGATGCAGCGATGTCCACCCAAAACAGTCGTTAAAGAGTTTCGTACGAACAAAGGAAACTGAAAAAAAAAAAACAACGCCAGAGGGATTTCCAGCGCTTGTGTCGTTTCACGTATCAACAATGTGCCTTTATGTGGACCGTTGATAGCGGGCTTAAGGCCTTGTCATGAGAAACCAACCAGCCATGCAGATGGTATTCGATAATAACATTACGGATATGAAGTTTGCATGGGTGTCAATAGACTTCTGTTGAAACTGATCAAAGATCACGCGCTGTGATCAAAGAAACACATCAGTGAGTTTCTGTCATTGTCAATGGAAATTTAGTTGAAATTCATTTGAGGATCGCGCACCGAGGTTCAAGCATCTGCAACAAGTTAACATGAACATTTTTAACACTCTATCGTACTTATGTTGCTTTCAGCACATTTTCTCATGAAATTCAATGAAACACTTCGCGACAGTGGCGAGCGGCAGATCAAGGAAAGATAATTGTACAAGAGGGAAAATTTGCGAACAACCACGATTTCTTAAACGTGCAAAGCGGTAAGATACTGCGACCTCCCACACAATTCCTACGAAAAGTTTCCTCTATGCTTTGTTCGAGAACATGAGTTTCAAAGTCACAAAGCCTACAGCGCACGCACCGGTTGAAGCTGCCAGGACAGCAGTCACCCAAGAGACGCGAGCGCCAAAATCCTCCCCTAGCGACATTTGTAGGAAGCTCTATGATGACGCAAGCTGTAGGAGGCTTCCAGTACAGCGACAAACCTTAAGTGAGGCTAGATCACGTGAGTGCTTCTTTGCACACCTATTCAGTGGCGCGATTACATCGACTACAGCTACTTTTGGACCCATGCTCTTGAAATTGTGAGGACGCTTCTTTAAGCTGATTGTTCAGGCAGGTTCACAATAATATAAAAATATCAGTAGAGCTATTAAACTGGAAGAAATGAAACGATAAAGGGAGCGATCATTTGTTGTCTTGACGCATGCTCATGAAAAAGAAAAGAAACAAAAAAAAAACGCACATATAAGTTGGCACCATGAAATGTTGAGCCTCCTAGACAAGCATACGTGACCCTCGATCCTGCGCAAAAGATAAAGATCTCGTGTTGGAGACGATAACTGACAAGAAAGTGTAATATAGGATATATAGTTGTGAAATTGTGAGAAGTCAGCTGTTATATGTACAAGCAAGAACACTATCTCGACTCCTGCTGCTTGTTCGGATAGATTCGATCGAGTCGTTAACCAGCACCCAAGCTTACGTCACACTGGATACATTCTCCGACAAAAGCAACTGGATCGGCCTGATGCTTCGGCGATTACGTAATAGCTGCTATCTCTCCCGATAAAGACAACCAAAGAAAGCTATAAATTTACAAGAACAAAAGCTTGGTAAATTTACGCGCACTGATACTCTTATCGGTAACTATGATAAAGGTGCGATTCCATGATCACTATATTATCAAGAAGGAAAGAAGCGAGACATTTCAGGACGTTTTGAGTTCAGCATGCAAGGTAAACAGGTTTCGGCATTCGTACGTAGATGCTCATTCTGCTCGACAAACGCCGCTGATAAACATTTAAAAAAATCTAGATATGATCGATGCGTTAGCTTCGTTCACCATGTTTCCCGCAGTGAAAAAAATCTCACACAATAATAAATATAGTGAAGCTATAAAGTACAGAGCTCAAATGATTGATTGATATGTGGGGTTTAACGTCCCAAAACCACTATATGATTATGAGAGACGCCGTAGTGGAGGGCTCCGGAAATTTAGACCACCTGGGGTTCTTTAACGTGCACCCAAATCTGAGCACACGGGCCTACAACATTTCCGCCTCCATCGGAAATGCAGCCGCCGCAGCCGGGATTCGAACCCGCGCCCTGCGGGTCAGCAGCCGAGTACCTTAGCCACTAGACCACCGCGGCGGGGCACAGAGCTCAAATGAATGTTGAGTGTTGCATTTGAGACCACGTTATGAAACACCGCTGCTGCGTAGGGAAGAAATGCACTGGTGAGCCCCTAGACACTAGTCTCAAAGATTTTTTATCAACGGCTTTGTCAACGGTCTGCGACGTTAAACCCCATATATCAATCAATGTCAACGGCGTTGACTGGAGAAACGCAAAATTCAAGACACTTCATCCGGGACACCCCTTAGTCATGAAGCTTTCCCGGCCATCTTTTTTCACGTCCATGGCGAAGAAAGAAAACTGCAATGTCATTTCATAACGAGGGTATAGACAGATACATCTCCAAAAGTCCCGAGTCTTAGTGACGCTTCTCTTAATATAACCCATCGCGAGCCTGCGGGAACGTCATTGACATCACCGCGGCGCATGGCGATTGAGCCTGCGATTCCGCGATCGCAGTTTCGCAATCGCGACTTTTCCAACGTTTGCACACGTATTTCCATTAGTGTGCTCAAACACGTGAACTTGTCGTCTGCAAAACTCACGGAGATGCAGAAAAGACAAAAGCACAACAATAGATAACGGACCGGGGGTGTTTCCAGAGTTTTGCCGCCAAGGAAACCAGACGGGTTGCCACCCAAACAATATGGCGCACCACGTTTTAAGCACATCCCCGACAGAGGGCGGCACAGCAGCGGTGAACGATGCATAGCGAGATTTGCCTACTACAATAACAATATCCAGAAGTGACGCTCTCTGAAATGGCCACCTTCGCGCCATAGTCCAACCCACTTGACGTCACGTGGCACCCTCATTCGAAAAGCGTGTCTCGTGGTGGCTTGTCTTGGCTTTACTTTTGGCTTTGAGGCGGTGATGGCGGCTTGGTTTGCGATGACTGGTGGTGGTTGGCTGCCGCGGCATGGCGGCGTTGCGGAGAGGGCGCTCAGGGGGCGCCACCATCGCTCACAGAGAGGTCGTCCTCCTTGAGGTCGTCTTCGTCGATGTCGTCTTCCTCGTCGTCGTGCAGCGGTAACTCGGCCGGGCAGAACTGGTACGGCTTTGGGTCACCCCGAATGTCACAGATGACGTTAGTGAGCGCCATAATGTAGTTCTTGGCCAGCGTCAGCGTCTCGATTTTAGACAGCTTGCGCTCCATGGCCACGTGAGGTATGACCTCACGCAATGCCTGTGGGAAAACAGAGAGGCGGCGTTATGAAGGTACAGGCATGTTAGTCCTACAGACTTACAAGTGTGGTAATGGTAGAGAGCTTTAGTTTGTCCATAGACGTCTTCCGGATTACAGATACAGGTTGGCGGCAGTGGTAATGATGATAATACACAGCTGGGGCCTTTTAATCGGGCGAGCTAATGCTACCCAAATAAAAAGTTGAGCAGACGATGAACAAAAAATTAAACACACACACACACACACACAAACACACGAACTACCATATTAGTTCGTCGTTTATGTATTCGCCCTCGTTGTTCCCCCACGTGATGGCCTACCGCATCACCACGCACCACAATTGTCGTCAGCATAAGTTGTAGTGACATCTCGCGTCACTTTCTCCAAATACAGTGCATTCAAACTTTTTCCACTTGCGTCATAAATATGATGAAAGCAGTGTGAGTTACTGAATCTTTCAATGTGCATGCTTTACGCTAGTAGTTGAGTAAGACCTACGAGTGTCCGCCATTACTTCTGTGCGTCGCTGACTAAGAACTGCGTCAGCAGGTGTCGCGGCCATTGTTTTACATCAGCATGCGTCTCCGGAAACCCTAACACGCAAGCGGCGAGAAGCATGTGGACCAACTTAAGTATATCCACAAATCCTCAGAGGGCCCATGTATTTAAACCTATAACCACTCGGGTGCCGCCATGATGGAACGATGCTAGGTTTCGGGTGACGTTCACTCGCACTCGGCACTGCATGCTGCGATAACTCCTGGCATTTTTTTTTTCTGTTTAATGCATCTGTGTTGCATCACAGTAAGACGATGTCACATAAGGAAGAGCTGTTGGCTTGGGGCAACAAAAAAAAAACACGGACGACAAATATACAAGTCAGCCGGCTACGCTCTCAAATTTTAATATGCTAACGGTACATGATACGGTACAACGATGGCGGCGCCACCTAGTCAACGAATTTGCTAACGCTCCTTCTCGTGCGCGGTAAATTGCATAAATGGCGATTGGTATCTTCCCAAAACGTAGTTGACATCCGCATCCCATAATATCTGTCCACTTATATTACGTGAACACGCTTCTTTATGATTTTTTGCTGCGAGAATTTCAGTGTTTTATACTGCTATACTCAGCGCTTCTTTAAAGTATTGTAATAGAAACAATGACAACGTTCAAATATGTCAGTGCTTTGGGGGTTAAAGCTTTTTTGGCCCAGATTTTTCTCTAGAGTCTGTATATAAACACTATGATGGCGGAGTCAGAGGCCCTGCGGTTCATGACGTCAATCCGGAGTGCGCGCCCATTGGCGCAGGCTTGCGTGCATCCGCCTTCGAGGATAAATTACCACCGTTTGCTAAAGTCGACTCGACTATAAATCAAGGCGAGTATGGAAAAAACAAAAATAACTGATATTTCTTTAAATATCATCTTCCCGGAAAATCCGAGCGAAAGCATGTTTGCCGAGCATTCACAAGGTCGATAAAATATTTCAGCTTAACTAACAAAGGGGCCCATGGCCATAGTGGTCCACCTAAAAATAATATTCAGACAAAAGAAAAGAACGAAAGGTCAGCAACCCTGAGGGCTTTTTTTTTCGTCCAACGAATATCAAGGGTCAACTAAGAGGGCTCCTAGGGCTAAGGGGCATGTATCGCAATTTAAGCATCTCTGAAATGACCAGCGTTGTGTTGAAGTTTCCCTGTTGATTCAACTCTGTTTATTGAACAGAGTTCCAGTTCACTGAATGTTTGTTGTCACTTAGGATTTTTCTGGAAGTATGGGCATGTTGTGATCTTATGTTGCTGACGATTTTTAACACTTAAGGTTCGTGCCCAGACAAAACCAGCATGATTAATATTCCTCATGCTCTAAAATGCCTTACGAAAAACTAACGCTGCTCATAAGGACCATTTTCTAGCTAATATACACGTAGTTCAGAAAGCTATAAAATTCAACAATGGCTTAGGCATGAGCTTCGATAATGCAGGTTTGTGTCATTCTAAATAATTTTTTTAAAGTTCTTGAACCCCTTTTCCAAGCAAGGGTCGTTTGGTCCCGTATCAGAGTTCAGTGCCTTCAGAATTTGTTGTGATACAATTCACTAACTGAACTTCAGCCGCGGGCTGTAGGTTATGAAAACCCACGCGGTGAAAACTGATCTGGAGTCTTTTCCCGTTATACGATGCGTCAGCGTAATCGAATAGATCCTATAGGGCACGCTGAACGCCAGAGTACAACCTTTCAGTTCCCCCGGCACGTCGCATACGTGCCTAGCATCATAGAGTGTCCTAAAATTAACTAGAGGGGATTCTGGCGCTGAGATCGTTCAGCGACCATGGGAATGATGGGTAGTACACACATTTGCCTAGTCTTCGTACTTGCGGGCGACGAATCGTACTTGCGGCTTCGTTTATTGCTGTGTTTCGGTTTTGTTTCAAAAGAAAGAACGAACCCTTTTGAACTTCGTTACCCGATTTGAGAAGGTAAGCCTAAAAAAATGATGAAGTGACACAAAGCTGCTGAACATTTGATGATTTTTGTTACGTGAGAAAACAACTCCAAGCCACACGAACACACACGGAGCCAGAATCAGGCCAGAAGTACAATAATTAGACAAATGTGTGCACTACCCATCATTCCTATGCTCGCTGAAACGCCGTGCATCGCAGCTCCCATAGACACTAGCGCCAGAGTTCCCTCTAGCGTATATTTGGAAACTCTATGCCTAGCATAGACTACAGCGCGTACCTGGAAGGCGTCGTTGAGCGAATGCATGCGCATGCGCTCTCGCTCGTTGCTCTCAAGGCGTCGCAAGTTGCGTTCTCTGGCCGAAAGGGCGCTGCGCCGCCGCCTGCCGCCGGTAGGGGCAGCGCCAGCGGCACTTGGTGGCGGCCTTCGTCGGGTGGCGCCGTCTGTGGGTGGAGGCGGAGGCGAATCGCTCGTCGCCCCGCCCCCCTGGGACGAGGACGAATCAGAGCGAGCGCCATCCGAGATATCGTTGGCCAGGTTGCTGGAAGATCTGCGAGAGGCAGTGACAAATCGAACATGACGTTTTGATTGCCATAATGCTCATGTATGGGGCTTATATTGACACATCACTGAATTTTCCCCGTCGTCGTGATGATCTATCTATCTATCTATCTATCTATCTATCTATCTATCTATCTATCTATCTATCTATCTATCTATCTATCTATCTATCTATCTATCTATCTATCTATCTATCTATCTATCTATCTATCTATCTATCTATCTATCTATCTATCTATCTATCTATCTATCTATCTATCTATCTATCTATCTATCTATCTATCTATCTATCTATCTATCTATCTACAGACAGGCAGATAGATAGATGGATAGATAGATAGATAGATAGACAGATAGATAGACAGATAGATAGATAAATAATTGAAGTAATAAGATTTAACAATAGCAGCACTACTTCCTTAGTCAGATGGCGCTTTGTAAAACAGTAAAACGGTGTGGAAGAGGCAAAAACTGCACGCGTTGAATGTTTCGACATGGCGATTTCACCAAAGTGTCTCTTCTTTTTCTAACGCCTTTTCCTTTCCTCCCCAGCTGTTTCTCAAACAGGCAGCCCCACTTACAAAACAAGTGCACGTTTACCTTAGGCACTGGCCGGTTTAACTATAACAGCTCCTACTTCCGGTAAAATTCTAGACTTCGGCGCTAAGTCCAATCTTACCAGAAGCAATGTTGTATCACAATTAAAACATCCCCTCCCTTCTTTGTTTCCCCATACAGCTTTGATTAACACTGGTGCATAAAAAAGAAAAAAAAAGAACACAGACTAAGAGACGTGATGGAAATGGGGCGAAGTATAAACCGAAGGACAGTAGTGGCTGGTGCAATACGTAGCTGGATACCTTGAAGAAAGAGCGAAAGATAAAGAAGCACAATGCACACGTGAACTCCCTCTACTCAGCTTCTCTCGTGCTCAAGGCTTTGTGAATTATGTCGTGTTGGAGTGTAGCTTGTTCAAACATCTAGGGTCCTTCTGCACCATGTACTTTGCGTATATCCCCCCCCCCCCCTCATCCCATTTTTTGTGCAGTTAATGCTTAGTTGGCTAAGCGAGAACCAATAGCCGGTGCCGCTTTGAAGGTACCATAAAAAGAAGAAAAAAAAAACTAAAGAAAACAGAGGTGTTGCTCCGTACGAAAGGACGTATGGAGGTTCGTCATCATTACCCTGACTACGACCACTGCAGGGCAAGAGCCCCTGCTATGTTTCACCTATGTAACCAGCTTTGTGCTTGCTGCGGCCGCAATATCTTAGCAAACTTCATAATCTCATCCGCCCAACTAAGTTTCTGTCTGCCTCTCGCTGATTCGCCTTCGTTTGTAATCCTGTCCGTCACTCATAATGATCAGCGGTTATACTGCATTTTCGCGACATGCCCTGTCCTTGCCTATTTCTTCTTCTCGATTTCGACTAAAATATTTTTAACGTACGTTTGTTCTCTGGCGTACTTTGCAATGTTGGTTACTTCCATGTCAAACCAATCTATTTTCTCTCCACGGCTCACTGAGACGAACCTTTTTCGTAAGGCTTTACGTTCCCAAACAAGAGGGAACTATCGGTAAGATGTAGCTGCAACATACCTGTCTGGTGGGGGATACTGGTAGCCTTCAATTGTAAATCTGACAATCCCCGGAAGAAAAAAATATAGGCTATAACTGCCGTAATAGTTACACCATCTGCCAAATATGATGTGACCGGTATTGTGGAACTCGCAGCTGTTTGACGTAATCGCTGCGGAGATGCATGAGTGACGATCACGCATCCCCTGAATCGTGCATCAAGGTGTTGCACATACGTGCGCAACTCATCAGGGTGAGCATAGTTTTTCAAACCGCGCAGAAACGGGACACGGGGAATATACACCACATGACGGAGGCGCTGTGACCTTCTCCTCAGCGCCTGTTGGCGCTATCAGGTCTATTTGCGCAGAGTCTATTAGCGCTGTGAAAACAGGCCCAGACAACGCATGCCGGTGTTCTGGCTTATTATGGCCGTCCCGTTTCTGCGCCGTTTGAAAAACCATGCGTATACGCACCAGCAAGCCCACTTAACCACTTTTTTTTCGAGGTCCCCCATGGTGGCCGTACCTGGAGTCCGGCCTGGGCCTCTTCCGGTCGGGCTGGCGTGCCTCGTCGGGCCAGTCCTCAGCACCCAGCGGATCCTCTTCGTGAGCCGCCGTGTCTTCGCCTCGAGACCTCACCATGACCTCCCTGCGGGCGTAAACGGCAAGCAGCGACACTTCAACTAAATGCACCTTCAGAGAATTAGTTTGCTGGGCTAGTTAGTTTGTAATTTTGGACGGCACAGAGGACGACACACACATCACGCGATAAGCTCGCAAATTTATTGGCAAAAAAGTTGTCCTATAGATATACACATCGAAGAGCCAGCACGCGCAAGCGCATTGACAATTATTTTCGCGTTCCTAGTATGCTCTGTGAGTTCTCATCTGTTCGTAATTTGCGCTCAACAGTTCACAATCTCAAAGAAAAAAAAATAAAACACGATTGAGCTCCACCTTCGAGAGTTGAACTTAGCGGAATAGAGCCCCGGGCACATCACCTCGAAGCGTGCCGTAAAGAGAGGAACGTTTCTGCGCATAACCTCGATCATTTCAAAGTATCCCAGAATGTTTGCAGCAAGTAGAGTTGGGAAGCGCCCGCTATATATGCGGTTGTCACAGAACGAGCGCTCAAAAAGAGCGCGCCGCCAACTCCTCGCGACGAAACGCCGGAATGACGCCGCGAGGTCAACGATAAAAAAAAAAAAGAAAACAAACATCCAGACTCCCCGGGCGCGACTCTCTCCCTCGGAAGCGTAGATTCGCCGACGAACCTCCTCACCCCACAACGGCGGCCGAGCAAGCACTCGAAATTTCTAGATGGAAAGGGGCGTGGTGAGGCCGGGTTGAATTATCCATCGCAGACAGCCTTCGAGCAGTCTCGCCCTCTCCCCAGCCTTCGTTGCGTATCGCGCCGACGAAATGACGAGAACCTTCTGGAATCTCGCGCGGAAGGTATTTAATGGAGCAGCCGAGGTGAGAGATCAGGAGAAGACGGAAGTTAGCGCCAGAGCGCGTAGGGATTCCGCCGTGTAGTCGGCGAAGGTTTTGTCCGTGGAGACAAAGCAGGAGAAGAAGATGATTTCCACCTGAGGGGTGACGACTCGAGCTACAGGCAAGAGTGTGTGTTTACCACTGTAGAGCGAAGACGCGTGGCAACAGCTGCGTGTGGGAAGCCGCCGTGTTTCCGGCGAAGAAGTTTGAAGCTTGGAGAGTGGCCAATTGAAGACGCGAGGTTTCCTGGAAGAGAAACTTCGGGGGGGGGGGGGGCAGCGGAACGACAACAACGCTGGACTTTGAGTGAGTGATTCTCGGAAGAGTATCATCCAGACTTTTGTTCCAAGAACTTTGGACTGAATAGGTTTTCTATCTCTTTAGTCTTTAAGTGTCTTGGTTGTTCAATGCATGCGACTGCCTTGTAGTGCGTATTGTGTCTGTGTCCGTTGTTTCGAGTGTGGCTGATTGTACTGTGTAGTACGTTGTTTGATTGGTGACATATTGTATGCAACTATTGTGGAGTGTGCATTTTTGTGTATTGTTTTCGATCTGCCATTATTGAGAATATAATTTTGTTGGTTCATCAACTCTCGGCTCTGACTCGTTCTTTGGGCCACAGCCGGCGTCCGCTGGCGCGCCGAAAAGGACCACTTCTAAATTGTCCACGCTTTCGTGGTGCGGTTCGGGGGGCCGATACTTCGGCCCTTGGAATTAGCCCGGCGATCGCCTCCCTAATTAACGGGACCCATGACAGCCGTGAATTCTTTCTTTTGAATATTTGCGAAGTGCCCACTAAGAATCCGTAAAATGTCACGCGCAGCTTGTAGTGCTCTAAGTAGCCAAACATTCGCGCGATTCCCGTGTTTTCTGGGCCTGCAATACTTTTGCGGCATGGTTCAGAAACCCTGCCGATCGGTAGTTGAGGCGCATGAAAACACGCGAGCCAAACATTATGGAGCAGCATGCAGTCTGGAATTCACAATCGATTCTCGAAGTAGGCTGTAACTCGTTCCCTCTCCTCTCGACAAATGACGCCATAAACACGATGTTCGCGGCCATTGGCTGGTTAGATAATCGTGAGCTGCATAGTCATCGCTGACGGCCACCACGGGACGCCGCCACCTGTCCGCGTTCACGAAGCGATTAGACTGTAAGTAAGCCGCGTGTTCAAAGAAAAAAAAAATTGCCCGCAGCTTCCCTCGGGGGAACACTGAGGAGGAAGCGGAGCATATAATTGGTTAACGGGGTGTTAAAGTGCGACTTACTTGGGTCGATGGCTAAATTGGTTAACGTGGTTGTAGGAGGGGGTGTCGAATGAGTGAACACGTACACACGTATACGAAAGGGCGGCGCTGGTCGAAGGGACGTCGATCATTGTGTTTGTGGATTCGTTGGAATTCATTTCACCGCGACCTTGGACGTCGACGCGCCGTACAAACCAACCGACGAGCGGCAACTGAGCGAGCGAGCGCCGACCTTGAGTATATATACAGCGCGACGGCGCATGCACTGTCAGCTGTCGAATGTTCGAGAAGGGGGAGAAGCGCAACGGCGCATGCGCGCACGTCAGCTGCCGATGTTCTCGAAGCGCGACGGCGCATGCGCGCGCGTCAGCTGCCGATGTTCTCGAAGCGTGACGGCGCATGCGCGCTACATTATACAGCTCGCGAATGTTCGTGAAGAGGAGAAGCGCACGCGGTGTGTAGAGGAGGAAGGGTGCACAGATGGTGGAGGAGTGAAGCGCGCGCGGTGTGTAGAGGAGGAAGGGATGCACAGATGGTGGAAGAAGGAGGAGAAAGCTTGCGGACGGCGCCGCACTACAAGCCTCGGGTATTAGATGCTCCGCATCTAAAAGACCGCTTATTTGCGTGTTCTGCAGCAAATGTCGTCTAAAGACTAAAGTTCTTTCTGGAGGCAATCTGGCAGTAATGTCGAGAACTAGGAGCTTGCACAGAACCCAGAGCCACTGGCAGCACCATGTGATCAACAGAGCGCTTTTTCAGCGCAGCGTAGGAAACACGTAATTCTTGTGGGGTGTAAAGTTACGTATCTCTGCATTTTATAGTAAAGAAACGCACCACGTAACACTTGCGTATTGATATTGTGCCCAAGGGATGCGGAATATTCGCTTATTGATCGACGGTGTTCACAAGTATGAACGTAGTCACCAGATCAAGATGGTTGGGCGTTGCGGAAGTGGTTAAACTATCGCCGGGTGGCTGAATTGATTCTGGTAACAGGCAGACAGACACACAGACAGCAAAAAAGAAATACAAAAGTTTTTGCGTTGAAGTATCCAAAGAACAACTATCGTCCTTACAGGGGCACTAAAGGCAATTATTAAGTTGACGTTGTTTGTTGAAAAGGTTTCCAGCCCCACTGTGCATGTCTTTGGTGCTAGGTTTCTTTTTTCCAATGTCACGCGATGTGGTTACGGCCACCGGCGGCGGCGGCGGACAACTGCGGGTGACCCGAGTTGTGATCTCATAACAGCTTTCGCTGTAAAAGAAAGTGCTCAAGGCGATGACTCTTGCCGACAGATCGAGGTGACTTAAAAACGCATCTTCCCGTCCTTTGTTCTCCGCGTCTCTTCTTAGCTTGGAGCGCTCTCGCTAGTACGAGGGGGAGAGAGAGAGAGATGACCCACTGAGCACGAAACAATCCCGTGCAACTCCGTTTGTACTTGACGCATTATAAAGATTGTTGCGGCAGTCAATTCGTGAGGCGATACGCTCTTTCAACGAAGCCATTCGGTGTTTTGCTGGAAAAGTGTTCCAGGGTTCCTTCAAGGGGGTGCAGGTGATAGTAGCAGGAGCAAAAGGAGCCGTAAAAATTGATTAAGGAGTGCGAGAGCAAAACGGCGGGAAACTTGAGCTACACATTGAAGTAGTATGCACACAATAAAGCCATATTAATGAACTTGAAAAGAGTTTCCATTGTCTCATCTCGTAAACTTTGAATATTTCACGAGACGAGTATACCTTGTGCGTTAGGTGTGCCACCGGCCAAGAGTTGTTGTTTTTTTTAATAACTACGCACTCATTTCGCTTCGTCTCATGGCTACAGTCCGTCATGTTGACTTACTGAACGTTAGTAAACAATCCTTAAATTTAAGTCAATAGACAACGTCCCAAATATGCTTTCATAAAATCCTCTATTTACTACCCTTCATATGGTAATATTATGAGGTCAGGCCCATAGCAGAAGGGGGGGGGGTAACTAAGGCCTCCGCTCCCTTCCAGCCCCCATTCATGGGAGGCGTTCTTCAAAAACAAGTAATGAAAGAAGCTGTTTGTCTCAAATAGTCAAGGCCTTCGCAAGTTGCCTTCTATTCCAAAAATAAATTTCTGACTACAGGCCTTGAAATATGCTTCAACAGGGGCTGTCGATCCAGCCACTGTTTTAACAAGCAGTCATACGTTGGTGACAGCAATGTTCAGGCATTTTTCGTCTCTTGTAGCCTCCATATTGCGAATTTCCGCGTTTTATATAAATTATCCGGTGTTACTTCATAGCATCTTTCCTGTAGTACCAACAAAACCCCGCTGTCGACTCGACAAAGCACCGGCAGCCGTAAAGACTGACCACGGTAAGTTGTACACACACGGCCTGCACGAGGCGGGAGGCAACGAGGATTACGCCAAACGCCCCCTTAGACACTTGTCTCCAAGGGGCAATACGGGTATTCATCCACGACAGACGCAGCGCGGTGGGGTCCAGACGACGTCGTCGATCAAGAGGAAAGACTGTTTACAAGCGTCCAATGAGGAACAGCTCTCCGGGGGACGTGCTCTGCCATTTATACTTCTGGCCGTGTCTCCCAAATTGCGACGACGTCGTCTGCTACGTCCAAACCCTTTGTCGTCTGCTGCTTTCCGGTAGATGAGACGGAATGGCTAAGCACCGGAAGCAGGGTCGATAGGAAGCACGATCACCGGAACGAGATAGTGAATTAACAATGGAAACGGTGGCGCTTATAGCTTCCGGTATTCTTTTTAGCAAACAACAGAGCGACCTATCCGAACGGCCGGGTGAAATCGTAATTCCTTGTCCAGTTCCGTCGAAGACTTGAGACCAATCGGTAGTAATGTATGAGTCATTGCTGACGTGCATTTTGGGCCGCTTCTTGTTGATTCAAAAATTTCGTTCATGTCGTTCGTTCCTGTCGAAGGAGTTCTGTCTTGAAAAGGCAACTGTAGTGCTCTTGGCCAGTGGTTCGTAAACGGGGGATTGAAAAGTCATTTTTGGGGATCCTCGAGACCCATCGTCGCCAAAACAAAATTGTAGTATTATACGAATCGAGGCTGGTAGATCACTCTTTCGGATGCGATATCACGTAACTCTACAAAATGCTCGTGTAAGAGAATGCAATGGACCCGGGGAAAGGAGCTCTTTTTGCACAGTCTCTTCGCGTTGGGAGCGTAGCCCGTAGAACGTTGTAAGAGCCGAGCGCTGCATCAGCAATCACACCCGCGGCCATAAAATCAAAGTTCACTATTGCTGCTTGAGCGATCATTAGTAAGGCTGTATGCACGTGACGCATATTCGCTTATCATAGAGGATTACTTAACCGTTTTCCTCGCTATAAGATTCTTATACACCCAGTAATAAACGTTCCTTTTTTCGCCGCTGCCTGCAGTACGTGGGGAAGTGTTTCTGAGCTATTCAAAAGAAAAAAAGAACATCGTCTGCTCCTCACTGAGACTGCGTCGTCTGCTCCAAACTTCCGGCATCTCCTACGCCGCACATGTTCCGAACCGGCACCTCGATCGCACGAAGGACGCACCGACTGGGCAAGCACTAATCGAAAATGGCCTCGATATAGCTTGTACCCATATCGAAGCTGTACCGGCGGGCCACGTGGTCAGTCGCGTCCTAGCCCGTTCTTCTCCTCTCCCCATCGGCAGCGCTTCAGTGTTTACACTCCCATATCGGCATGGCTTGAAGCGCGCGAATGCTAAGCCTAGCGCGACGGTTGCGCCATCTTTTTTTTTTTTTTATTCTTGGCGGCGACGCCAAGTTCTTTCGGCACGCGTGTTGGTTAGCGCTTGGCAAACATTTGGGCCGCCATGTGATGGATGAAGTTGCGGCGATCGAGGCGTCATCTGTTGCCTCTGCAGCGCACTTTGTCCGCTTCGAATCGATGAGAGAGTGGCGGGAGAGTGGATAAACGGGGAAGAGGGAGTGGGGGTCAACATAATCGAAAGCTGCTCGTCGGGGGTTCTTTTCATTTTTTTTTCACGTCTACTCCTCTTAACAATGGACTGCCAATTGGAAGAAGAAGACGTGCCCCTGTTTTGCTCGAAGGCCGTGTGCTAGGCTCGAGATAGTGAATTGCTTCCGAAGATCGCTCTTTCGCTGTAGAGGCCCGCTCGCTACAAGGAAATCTATGGGACAAGATGGATGGGATAAACCGTCGCCGGCTTCCGCCTCGCAGCACTGTAGGAGTACGTGGTAAAACTTGGAAACGAACGTGTTTCTTCGGAATATCAAAGGTGCCCCACTCTTTGTGGTCGAAGTAATGGTAAACAGCGTCCAATCAGACATGCATGAAACGTTTCAGGGGTTAGTTTTCATTAGGTTCAAAGAGAGGCATTGGTATTTGGTATGTTCCACATTTTTAACGGGCTTTGTAAGTGCGCAGGAAGTACGCGAAACGTCCAAAGGTTATCACGTACGCATACTTGTATACAAAATAGTGAAAATGCGAAAGACTAGTCAAAACACGGAGGTAAGATACAGACACTCGTGCCTGTAGTAAGTATATGACTTCCAATGTTTTCTCACATCTTTCGAGATGTTTTAAGTTCCGAGATCATCGTACCGAGTCACCCGGAAGGTTTGGTAGGTTTTTTCTTTATACAGTTGCTTTCCATCATTGTTCTGATTGCTTCGACTAAAGTTATTCTTTTGACGCTCTAACATCGATCGTAGTCTATGTGAGGGAGATGACTGCCATCCAGCCAGCAATAGAAAATCATAAGATCGTAATATTTTATACAGTTACAATATTATAATATCTGGGGTTTTACGTGCCGAAACCTATAGAGACACGCCATAGTGGAGCGCTGCCCAAATTTCGACCACATGGTGTTTCTTTTAACGTGCACCGAGATCGTGCAGTAAGCGGACTTTTACTATTTCGGCTCCGCCGAAAAGCGACCGCCACGGTCGGGGTTCGAACCGGCGACCTTCCTGTAAGCAGCCGAGCACCGTCACCGTTACACCGCCGCAGCGGACATCCAATCACGCTTCAGCGATTCAACAAATGAATTCCGTTCAGTTTATGCCATTTGTCTATCACCACTGCTCGCCGTTGTAATGTGTAACCGTGACCTTTCTTTTCCGACATTTTCTTGCACGTTTGGTTGTTTAGAAAACCTTTTACACATTGTAACGAATTTTCATATTGCTGTCCCACAAGATTCTCGATCGAGAGCGGCCAGATTGAGAAAAAAAAAAAAAGGCCGAAAATTCGGCCAGCTTCGCCCGAGTGGTGCCGATTGAGTCTGAAATAATTGCAGAGCTGGACAGCCTCCTTCTTTTTCCCCCAGTTTTCTGTCCCTTCCCTTCCTTTTTTCTTTCCCGTTGTATTTTCCAGTTCATTCTGTACCTTTTGTCTATTTCTACTTATTTTTGTTTTTCTTCCCATTTTTTTCTCTTTTCTTTTTCGCCCTTTCTGTTTCTCGCTTCTTTCTTCTTTCACTTCTCATGTGTGATTTGTGTAGGACGCATTTCCCTACGGCCATAACAGTAATTTCCGCACTTTACATATAATCAAGGTGCTCGAAGAAGGATAAAAAGAAGACTTCACATTAACACGTGGCGCACTCGATATATTACGGCAAGCTATGTTAAAGGTAGTTTTATCAACAAGTAGTTACAAATAGTTTGTAGTTATAAGTTACCAACTCGCCAAGCGTTCAGTCCTTCTAAGTAGTTTTACCTGCGTCAATTGCGTAATCAGGATACCCGAGGACAAAAGGGAGGAAGATTCGCGTTGAAGTCATTACCGAGGCGCTCGAAGAATAGGAGGGCGAAGTAATTTTGGCGCTGACATACGCTCAATATGCGACATTTGGCTATGCGGTTTTGCCTGAGTGACGCCTAGCGACGACGACAGCATAAGACAGCCCCCCCCCCCCCCCTGAAGTGCTCCGTGTTTAATGAGTAAATTTTAAGAACAAAGTGTAGAAGCATGGCCGTCACCAGGACATAGCAAGAGCCACTCCTTTACTGGGTCACGCTGACAGTCGACACTCACGCTTCACCTTGACGAGGAAGCCCGTCAGTCCGGCCCAAGCGCGTACCCAGAAATGTTTTTCGGAAGGGGGGGGGGGGGCTTCTATATTTTCGGGAGTGAACCCTTTTGAAATGGTCTTCTTTCGCTCTGTATGTCACAGCGAAGGGGGGGGGGGAGGCACGGGCCTGGTGTTGCACCCCCTGTCTACGCCCCTGGTCAGGCCTGGACATTCGGCCAGGAACTGTACTTTGCTCGTTGATGCCCGGTTGTTCTCTCTGAGGCCTCCGTCTGACCACGTGTCTTGAAGCTCGCTCACATTTGGCGCCCAACGTAGGTCCGAATCCGCGACCTTAGGATTGAGAGTCTCATGCTGTACCGACAGTGCTAGGTGGGCCTTCGTATTACTTCATCTCCGCGGCTATTTCCGTCAACGATTCCCAACTCCTGCGAACAGTGAGCTTTTTTTATATCTGTATTTCGCTGTGTTTGGTCTCACATCCACAATTGGATTTGCGCAAAGTGTCTTCTGGAGACCTGTTGAAGCTTGCGCACATCAACAAATCAAATTCGAGGTGAAGTTCAAAAGCGGGCATTCCTTCTGAAATGGTTGCCTTTTCCTCCTGCCTGTGCTTGTTTCAACAACGTGTAATTGACCAACATGAAATTATACATACGTAAATATTGTGAAAATATGTTATCCCACCCTTTATGCAACGTCTCCTTCGGTGGCCTTCAAATAAGTAAATTGAAGAAATAACCCAGATAAATTGTAGGGCGAGCAGTGCATACCAACGGTCACAAAGATACAATACCTAGAAATTGGTGATGACGTCACGAGGACATTTCACGTGGCAGCCTCGTGTATGGCCGGAGACGGCCGGTAGGTGGCGGTAGGTGGCGCGGGCCGCTCGGACTTCGCGCCTGCGCAGAAGAAAAAACACGGAGAGAGAAGAAGATTAAGCGAGTGATGGGCATTGTAAAAAACGACATTCCAGTAGCAACAAATTATCCATCACAATTACTCGATCGATCGAATAATCAATCAATCGAACGATAAGCAACAAGTCTGACGCATGAACATTGGTACACCACTAAATCACAGTGTTAAAATTGAACAAAAACATTGCTGCCGACAGCTAATATTACTAAACGGTCACTTGTTCTGTCCCAACAAGCGAGAACTTTTCATTCATTTTAGTAATGTTTTTACATCGGTATCATGATTACTACAGATACAGTCAGTTATACTTTGCTGTTATTATTATCGGTTAGTTATCATGAAAAATAACTTAGAGTTGGGCGATAATGACCATCACTTAGCATACAGTTGACAACAGTGTCGAGCCTCAGCCGATATTACCAACAGGCTGGCCAACACTAGCTGTCCTTTAACCAACACAGCCAACGCTAGAAGCCCGTGTACTATGCGATGCCATTGCACGTTAAAATGTATCACATCATCAATATTTCGGGAACCCTTCATAACAAAGTGCCTCATAATCACTTCGGTATTGTGGCATGTAGAACCCCAGAAATTATTACTAATATCAGAAACTTAACTGCACAGCAAAAGCTCAATATAAAGAAATCATGCGTGTATTACAGTGAAGACTGTCGAACAGGTAATCACGCTACCGGATACGTTAACACAAGCGCACTTGTGTGACTTAGTTGCAACAGCCCTCACTATCATCCCACGAGCATGCGTTGATTATAAAGTGAAAAAAAAAAATCACAGCTCTGCCGCAAAGGTGAAGCAATGAACGCGATAGTAACGAATTGGAAAGTCACGAGCAGAATGGCAAGCAGACCGAAACGTGCCCCGCGTTTTTCACGCACAAATGACGCACGAAACGTACTCACAGGTACAGATGAACGCGAATAAGCATCTCAGTTGTTACTTTGCTGTGTCTGAAAAGCGCGCCCTTTTCGCAAACCGAAACTGCGCAACGATTGCAGTGACCTTTGTGCGCCCGGTAACTACAACAGAATCGTTCTGGGAGACGAGAGCACGCGCCACGCGTCGTGCCCTTGGTGGTAACGATGGGGCGACGCGCGCTCATTGCGCCATCTTGCTGGTAAAGCTGAAAACACGACAGTTCCCCCCTGAGATGCCCTTCCCCAGCGGTGAGTGGTAGATATAAATAGCTTGCTATTTCAGTGTTGAAGGACGTGCTCCTTCGTGGATCTGTGGGGAACACCTCGCACTCACGATCTATATGTCAATATGTTCCGCGTTCAAATCCGCACGCCGCAGTCTTTTTCTGTATGTTTTTCATACAGAAAAAGACTGCGGCGTGCGGATTTGCGGATATATATATATATATATATATATATATATATATATATATAAATATATATATATATATATATATATATATATATATATATATATATATATATATATATATATATATATATATATATATATATATATATATATATATATATATATACACGCGTTAGATGCGTCGAATACGCATCGAACGCGTTATTCGAGGGTCGTGGGTTCGTTTCCTGCTCACGGCTGCTTATTTTTTAACCCACTTTTCTTTCTTCTTATTTACATTCCATTGGTTCTAATGACTTCCCCTATACAATCCTTGGCATTGCTGTCTGTTGGATCTCATTAATATTGTGTCAAAACACGGAAAAACGAGCCCTTAGGTATACACTTCTTTCCCTTATATATATATATATATATATATATATATATATATATATATAAGTGACGGCGACGCCGGCGGCAAAATCCAACCGAGAATGTCAATATATTTGCTATCGCAATAAAAACTGACGAAACTTGCACGCTGTGCTTGAAACATAGAAAGCAGACGATTCTGAAGACTAATCAGGCTGCTTGTAGGTTGGATTTGGGTGACGCAGGTTCTACGCTTCTTCAGGGTTGTTGCCTGGCTTTATCTACATGATGCTGCAATGTTTCTCTGAGTTCCTTCTTTCGCACTGAAATCAAATCAAAATCAAATCAAAACCTTTATTTGTCGCAAAACCGCAATGTTCGAATTAAACCCAGGATAGCCACAAACGCGACGCCCATGTCCAAACTTGAGAGAAAAAAAAACAACTTGCGGCGTAACCAAGCATTCGAACCACCCATATATCTATACAGACACGTAGTCGTTGGCGAGAGCTTTCCATCGGTTCGGGGTCTTCTGGCAGCCGCCGTTGCATTTTGGGTATCTCTTAGATACTTTCGTTGCACGCACCACTGGAGCAGTACAAACAGATCATTCAACGAAAGAGAAACATGCCGCCGCCGTGTTTATCGTTGGTTTAATCCCGACGGTTGATTAAAGCTTTGCTCAATTACTGGTTACGACTGTCTAGAAACGTTACTCGGAGTTCACAGGTCACCGTCACTCCTCTACCCATCTCACTTTTTGTGAGCGTAGAGTTGAATTGTGATGAGATCTTATCGTGACTGACGCGCGGTTTGTTGCGGTATTTACGAATAAAACAAAATATCTGCCCGCGAGATTTTCACCCCCTGGTCTGTCTGTCTGTCTGTCTGTCTGTCTGTCTGTCTGTCTGTCTGTCTGTCTGTCTGTCTGTCTGTCTGTCTGTCTGTCTGTCTGTCTGTCTGTCTGTCTGTCTGTCTATCTATCTATCTATCTATCTATCTATCTATCTATCTATCTATCTATCTATCTATCTATCTATCTATCTATCTATCTATCTATCTATCTATCTATCTATCTATCTATCTATCTATCTATCTATCTATCTATCTATCTATCTATCTATCTATCTATCTATCTATCTATCTATCTATCTATCTATCTATCTATCTATCTATCTATCTATCTATCTATCTATCTATCTATCTATCTATCTATCTATCTATCTATCTATCTATCTATCTATCTATCTATCTATCTATCTATCTATCGGTCCGTCCGTCCGTCCGTCCGTCCGTCCGTCCGTCTATCTATCTATCTATCTATCTATCTATCTATCTATCTATCTATCTATCTATCTATCTATCTATCTATCTATCTATCTATCTATCTATCTATCTATCTATCTATCTATCTATCTATCTATCTATCTATCTATCTGTATTGTCTTCTGCCTGCTTGTTGATTAGAAAAAAAATAAAGAGAAAAAAAAACGAAGACATGGAGTCACTGTCACTTCGTACACGCTTCAGGCGCCATTAACATGCAGATTAGCTCATTTCTTCCTTCTGACCTTTTTTTCTTTTTCGTTTCACTAACCGCATTTCTGCTATGGCGTAGGAACTACTCCCCGCGAGAGACTGCCAGTATGATCGCCTTCTTCAACAGAACACCGTACAGGACTAAAGCGCGATGTACTACACTCGCATAAACCATTACCGACGGCCTTGTTTTAGCACCACTTTCTTCCTTTTCTCGTTACGTGTCCCAGAGCGCGCTGGATCTATTCGCCACGATCGCTTCATCATAGTGTCATGACCTTCGTATTCATTATTCACGAAGACCTCCGGAGTTCGGACCGCGAAGCTCCACAATGACGCTACGGCCGCCTCATGAATACCATTTCCCCAACCGAAACGGTTTCCGACGAATGACTGTGCGAGTGCCATTAATTTACACCAGTTCCCCGCTCCCCACTAGTCCGTTCTTTCACTCCCTTCAAACAAGCTCGCCTGCTATCCCTCTGATCCCGGGTTTACTCCATGAACATGAACGGATTCAGCGATGAATATCTCTATAGGCGAATAGAATGCCGATAGAATAGAATCGAAAGCGCACTACTTCATCTGCGGACGGTTCACTCACCAGCGGAACACATCTCTCCATAATTTATTACCAGTTGCGATTTTAAAAAAAGAGAAACAAAACAGGACGCTTATCGAGAAACCGTATGTCAACGTCTTTCCGCGGGGTTTGCGGGAAGCGCTGACAGGCATTCCGCTTCGTCACGATGAGTAATGACGTTCGTCGTGACGTCACTCACTTTAGCGTTTCGACAGAGAAACACGTTGAAAGCAAAGCGCCACTAGGCTCACGACGTCTAATAAATGTCTCGTAGTGGCCCAGAGTTTCCTACAACAGTTACTAGAGGGAAAGCTGGCGCTGCGATTCTTCGACTACCATAGAGCGATGTGTAGTGCACGGATTTTCCTATAGTCTTCGTGCTTGCGGGTTTTCAACGCGCTTGTGGCTTTGCTTATGGTTGTACTCCCGCGTTTGTTTCCGTGAGAAGATTGAAACTTCGTGAGCTGATTAGAATTGATGCACCTGAAGAAAGGGTGAAGGTGGCGGAGCTAAACTGCGCCACTGTTGAACAACAAAGGGGAGGCAGGCCAGACGAAGCAGAAAGAACGAAGTTTAGCTTAATCCGTGTGTTACCCGTAATTGCCGTGCTGGCTGGAGCGTCACGTGTCGCAGCTCTCGCAGGCGCTACTACTAAGTTCATTTTGGTATTTTTATAGGAAACTGTACGGGTACATGCAACATCCGCGTTGAAGGGCACTGGTGCATCCCTGGGGTTAACTTCGTGTTTCGTTGCTCTGCCGAAGCAGATCTGAGAGGCCATGTAGCAAATGGAACGTGGTTCAGATCTTTTCCGCCAGGTGCCGCTATGGCCTCAGCTGCTTCCCCCCCCCCCCAAAAAAAAAAGCCATCTCCGCATTGAATGAATTAGTTCGTTTAAATTTCGCTAAATAGTCATTACCTCGTGATAAACAAATACTACAATATCATACGCGTTCGATATTGCTCTTGACCTATCTATCATCATTCCTATCTATTCAGTACCCGTTATCTTTTTAGCAACCTGTTTTCTGAGCATTCTGAAGATCGGAAGTTAGTGCTTGTCCGGAAGTGCTCAGAAAAGAAAAAAGACTGTCGCTCACTGGTTGTGCCACTGAAAAAAGCGCTGATCAAAGGCAGTACGAGGGGGGCGGGGGTCGT